ATGAATCCAATCAGCAAGTTGTACGACTTAAATTGGAACACACTATGATCTGTCAATTATATGCCAATAATTAAGAAGTGGAACTTGCATGGGGTATGACCAAGACACCTTCCTCTGCCTTCTCTTTCCTTCGCTCCCCTATATAGCTCTGGTGTATAGAGGCAGTTAGCACACTGACATGCAGTTTCCTTTTTCAGTTTCTGAAAAAGTTGCCTTTTTTTTTCAGCTTCCTGCTCCCGACCCGGATTCCTGTGGCACCTGGACCCCAAGCTCCATCCTCCCTCTTTCTCCCTCATGTCCAGCTCTGACCCAGGTGCCTTGTGGCTGACATTTGGGAAGGAAGCTGGAGCCAGTCCTGGGGTCCCAGGGCTTCAGGATAGAGGACTATAGGGAAGAAGGTGCCTCTGGAGGTGCAGGGGGTGGGAAGTCGACAGCTGCCCCCTGTGACTCTCACCTCCCCCCCCCCCACCGCCCAACTCTGGTGAGGTCATCGGGTGGGCAGTGGTGGGTGAGGTGCACTGGGGGCTGCGGTTCAGAACTGGCTAGAAAGGAAAGCCGAAATGTGCCACCTGCTGGCTGCCTCCACACCCTGGCAAGTCTTCCTGGACTCCTCATCCCTGTGACCTTGGCACTGAACAGCTCCGTCAGCCGTCCGCACCTCGGGCTCAGATGCCCTTGTTTCCTCCAGCCTGTGAACTGTTCACATCAGCACTGCATCCGAGGTGCTCGTGTGAGGGCAGGGATGTGTGCTCACGGGGGGAGGGGGCAACGGGATGGGAGCTCTGCGGCCACCCCATCGCCGAGAGAGGCTGACCCACTTGTGTGATGACAGGATGAACATTCCCGGGAAAGGCGGCAGCAGGCAGTTTCCAAATAGAAACAGGCAAGCATGGAGATCAGCAGCTTCTGCCAGCTGCCCCTCCCCACCCGCAATGCACACGGGCGTCTTTTCCCCACACCCCCGAACCAGGGGGGGAAAGGGGTCCAGCAGGAAGGGGTCGGCATCTGCTCCTGCAGAAAGGTGTGCGGTGAGGGGCTGGAGCGATAGCACAGCGGGTAGAGCATTTGCCTTGCATGCGGCCGTCCCGGGTTCAATTCCCAGCATCCCATATGGTCCCCTGAGCACCACCAGGGGTAATTCCTGAGTGCATGGGCCAGGAGTAACCCCTGTGCATTGCCTGGTGTGACCCAAAAAGCAAGAAAAAGAAAAAAGTTGTGTGTGGCTGCAGCTTTTCTGTCTAATTCTGTCTGATGCTTTCCTGCATGGTCTGCCGGCCACCTGGGAGGCTTGCCCAGCACCAGAGTGCCCGCTTCCCCATCTTGGCTCTCAGGAGGCTGGACGAGAACCCTGGGATCAGCAGATGCCCAGCCAGCATTCAGCGGAGAGCAGAGCCACTCCAGGCTCCCTGGTTCCCCACAGCATGACTGCCCGAGATCTCTGCTCACTCGGTCCTTCCCGTTTCTAGCCTCGTAAGGTCCAGTCTGAGTGGAGTGCAGTGCAGTGCAGCCCGAGCTGAGACAGCCATGTAGGGTTAGGGGCTGATCAGGAGCCCCCTAACGTGGCAGGCGGGGCCCCTCCACAGAGACAGGGTTGGGACTGAGCCTGAAGGAGGGAGATGGGGGGAAGGGCTCAAAGAGCCAGAAGAGAGGACCCATGTCATCAGCTAGACAGAGCTGTGGGGCGTGGGCTGGCACCAGCAGAGCAATCAGCATCCCAGACCTGGGACATGAAGAGCTAAGGCACAAGACACGAGGCATCCACTGCTTGCTGGCCAAAGGCAACAGGAAATGCAGCTGGGGGGAGGGGCACAGGATCTTTTTTTTTTTTTTTCATTTTGGGTCATACCTGGCGTTGCTCAGGGGTTACTCCTGGCTCTGCACTCAGGAATTACTCCTGGTGGTGCTCGGGGGACCATATGCGATGCTGGCAATCGAACCTGGGTCGGCTGCATGCAAGGCAAATGCCCCCACTGCTGTGCTATTGCTCCCGGGGGGCAGGATCTTTGAAGTGGACCTTGGCTAGTTCACTATAACAGGTCATGAGCTGCCCACTAGGGTCCAGAAAGGGGTGTGGGTGGCATGTTCCCCCGAGGTTCTAGGGCTGGACATCCATTACCACAGCTCATGACCGATCCAGAGCAGAAGCTCCAGGGTTGTCCAGCTCTGATTCCTGCTTGACGGATGAGCCTTCTGGGGCCCTTCCCCCCAGGGAAGTCAAGCTACTCCCCTTTCGCCCGTAAGCTGCTGTTTGTACCACTCCCAGCAAACAGTGCTGATCTGGGGTCCATGACCCCAGGTGCTTGGAAAGTTCGCACAGTAGACCTTGGGCCATGGATGCCCAGGGAGAAAGCCTGGGGGGAGGAGAGGAGGGGGCTGAATTTGACCTCTGACACTGCAAGGGATTAGATTAGGAAGAGGCTCTCAGATGGTCCCCCTTCTCTCCTTCATGTGGTCCTAGGGAGGGGCTGAGCCCACGGGGGGGGGGGGGGGCGGGTGGTCCCTGCTGCCTGCCCAGAGCCTCTGCATCCCTCGCCAGCTCTTCCCACAGGCTGCCCTGCCTTGCTCTGGGACTCACTGCAGCGGCCTCTGCATTGGCCTGTCCACTTGGCAGTTCCATCACTTGGATGGCCCTGGCTTGGTGGAGTGAGGGGAGCCCTGTGAGCTGCCCTCCAATCCCTGCCTCCCACAACAGACTTGGCTAGCAAGGAACCAACGGGGCCCAGGAGCCGATTCTCTGGATTCCCATGGCCCCAGGGGCCCAAGAGCCAGTCCTCCAGATGTCCACAGCCCAAGGTGCCCAGGAATCGGCCTGCTGGATGCCCATACCCCAGTGTCTTCCCCTCACCACCAACTGACTGGGCAGGCACCGGCCTTGACCTGGTTTCACTTTTTTTTTTTTTGCCAGATTTTTTGGACACATCTGGTGATGCTCGGGGCTTACTCCTGGCTCTGTGCTCAGGAATCACTCCTGGAGATGCTGGGGGGACCCTATCGAATGCTGAGGATCCAACCTGGGTTGTCTGTGCAAGGCCAGTGCCCTCTTGATCTGGCTCACAGCTCTTGGAAATCAAAACAGGATTGAACTTCCCCCCAGAGCTGCTGTGGGTCCTGCAGGGTCCAAGTTGTGAGTTCTTCAGAGGGTCCAGGTGATAGTGAACTGCAGCCCTGGGGCCACCAGGCCCCCCACTGGGTGTGCAAGACAGATGGCCACGAAGAGTGGTTTCCCATTGGTGTGTGTGGGGAGGTGGACATTCTAGGGAGACATTGGAGACATTTTTGGCTGCTACCCCTGGGACTTTGCATGGGAGGCATTTCCCAGGATGCATCTGGCATCTGACTGAGAGGAGCGGGCAGGATGCTACTGGGCATATGTGCGACCCAGACCCAGAGGTCTGGGGTCTCTGTCTTGCTGTGCACAAGTACTCTTCTGAGCACTTTCCGGTTTGATCTTTACTGGCCTCAACCCGCCCCCCCCCCCCCCCGGCAGGGCTCAAGTGACCCGGGGGGCCCCCTGCTTGTCACGTGTGTGTCAGCCCCTGGGCCAGCCCCTAGGACCCTGCTGACACAGGTGAGCGGCCACCGGCACAGCCCCGTGAGTCCCTCAGCTGGGGAACAGGTGCGGCCAGGGGTTCATGAGGTGCTCGCGTCCATGCCGGCTACGTTGAAAACATTTTATTTCAATTCTATCCTTGGGAGGCAGCATAAATTATCACAGGAGACCACGAAGGTCCGTGGGGAAGGAGAAATGGAAAGTAAGACAGAAAAGAGATTGGAGAGATGTGGAGCGAGGAGATGAGCGATGCTGTCGGGTGGTGAGTTGGGCGAGGAGACCCTGCGTTAGCCGGCGGCGAGGGCAGGGGGCCAGGGAGAAGCCCGGACAGGCATCTTCTGGCTTCTGGGGCGAGGTGCTCTGGGAGCCTCCAAGGAAAATGCAAGGGCGGGGTGAGCTGTGTCGAGTAGATCCTAGTAATGGGGGGAAAGAAGGGACACCCACATCCTGACCCCAGACCGGAGCTCCGTCCCTGCGCCCTGCAGCTGTGACTGTCCCGGGAATATGGTAGGTTATGAAGGAGGAAACTAAAGAATGAGTCGAGACTGAATGAAACGTGGGGGCCGGGAGTCTGCGCCCCAGGCACCCGCCCGCGCCCCCCTCCTGCAGGCAGGTACAAGGTACCAGGTGACCGGAGACCCCCACACCGGGAAACCTGTAAACGTTAAAGTGCTCTGGCCGCCAGGGCTGTGGTCCCGCCTGCACGCGTAAGGCAGAAAGCGGCTGAGGGCGGTGGCGGTGGCGCCCCAGGAGGATGGAGCCCGGCGGCCTCCACCTGCTCAGCCTCCGCCTCCGCAGGGAAGGCCTCATCTCAGATGGACGCCGGGACAGCGGCGGGGCCAGGAGGGGCTGGGTGAGGGACAAGAGTGTGGAGGCCTCCCCCGGACACACGGGCCTATCTGGGCAGATGTGGGGGTCTGCTCTTTCTCCACGAGCGCACGGGGGCTCCCTCGGGACTGACATCTGGTTGCTGCAGGGCAAGGGCCTTGCCTAGGGTCCGAACGCCCCGGGTGCTGACCCAGGTCCCGCCGTCGACCTGCTGAGTGACCTGGCACGTCCCCATGGCAACCTTCAGTTCTGTCATTTGCGTGGGTGGTGGACACTCGTCCACCCTGCCTGCCTCGGGAGGGAAACAGGGAGTGAGGGAAGGCAAGAGCTTTGGAGAGACTCACAGGAACGAGGGTCGGGGATTATGGCCTTGGCGAGCAATTCCCTGAAGACAAGAGGGGTGGGATGAGGGGGCCGGGCTGCACACCCCCCAGGGTGAGGCGGGACAGCAGGACCCCAGCTGGGGAGGGCTGCCTTGTCCTGCAGCCCCTGCCGGGGGAGAAGTGCAAGTTCTAAGTCTCCTGAGATCCTGGCCGCCGTGTTCCCCCTGCCAGCCGCGGCGTGGTCCCAGCCCGGGCTGCCGAGGCTCTGGAGGTGGCGCTGGGCGAGGCAGAGGCGCTGGGCTGGGGGTGGCAGGGAGGGTCCTCGGGGCCGTCCCCAGTTCCAGGCCAGGCTGAGGGAAGTGAGGGCCGGGGTGGAGAGCGGGGGCCGAGCTAGCAGCTCTTGGGGTTGTTGCGCAAGTTCTTCAGCTCCAGCTGGAGCTGCCGGATCCGAACCTCCTTCTGGTTCAGCTCCTCCTTCAGCCGCCGGATCTCGTCCTGCTGCCGGAAGAACATTCGGAGGAGCTGAGGTGCACAGAGAGGAGGGGAGGGGCGAGCAGGTGAGAGGGTGAGTGGTACCAGGACGCCCCCTGCCCAGCCTCTCTCTCCCCGGTGGCTCTCCCTCCTCCACGCCCAGCTCCAGATGGGCCACGGCAGTGACTCGGGACCATCAAAAAAGACAAAAGTCCACTCAGGGCAGTTCCCAGTTCCCCAACTATCCCAAGCTGACCCTTCCAGGGATCTGGATCTAGTCCTTTCTTGACCGTTGATTATTCCTGATGGAACCTTCCCAGAATGCGTTGCCTCCTCAGGGAAGACGCTGAAGGATCCAGGATGGATCCAGCTTTATTTTTTTTTTTTCGTTCCTCTTTGGGTCACACCTGGTGATGCTCAGGGATTACTCCTGGATCTGCACTCAGGAATTACTCCTGGCGGTGCTCGGGGGACCATATGGGATGCTGGGAATTGAACTGCATGCTATCGCTCCAGTCCTGGGCCCAGCTTTGAGCTGACAGGCCACAGGGAAGTGTGGAGTTTGCACTGAGCAGGGGTTCACAGGGTGGACAGGCCACTCCACACCTCTCCCAAGGGCTCAATGGATCAGGAGGCTCCCCATAGCTCTTTGTTGTGCTTTGTTTGGGGGCCACCCGGCGAGACTTGGGGCTTCCTCCTGGCTCTGCACTCAGGAATCACTCCTGGTGGTAGTGAGGGACCCTACAGTCAGTCTCATGCAAGGCAAACACCCTCCCTGCGGTATGATCTCTCTGGCCCATTCACATCTTACCCACAAAACTGCATTCTGGAAGCCAGCAGCACCCCCTGACCCTCTGCTTCCCTCACCACTGCCTTTAGCAGCAAGCCGGGAGCTTGTGCTGAAACTTCCACCACAGATCGCGTGTGTTCTTGTAATGCATTGTTTAAAACGATCAGGAGGAGCATGAAGCGGGTTGCCATTTGTCTAAGAACTCAGAGAATTCAACTCCGAGCTAAAGGAGTGGCATCTGGACTCGGTGTGGATGATGGAATTCTGGAGGATTGGAGATGCTTCTCGGTCTTGATGGTGCTCGAGTGCTTACTCAACTGGCAACATTCACAAGTCTGGGAGCCTAGGAGATGCTCAGGCTTCACATGCAGGTGGCCGGCTCCCACCTCTCAGCAAATGGTCCCCCAAATACCACTGGGAGAGACCCCTGAACACAGCCTTGAGCTGACAGGTCACAGGGAAGTGTGAAGCTTGCACTGAGCAGGGGTTCCCCACACCAGCAAAACAAAACTTTTGAGTTCCTATACTTGAGGGTATTATCCACTGCAAAGGATGAATTTTCCCACAAGTAGGTGTTATTCCATATAACCTGTCTTTGGAAAACACACAATACCTTTGAAAATAATACTGCATTCTTTTCAGATTGACTTTAAATTCTTTTTCCACCTAAAAGAAACTGGAAGTGGGCACTCGAGATGAAGTAGGATGCATGTGAGAAAGACACAGTCAACACAGCTAACAGTCTCGAGGAGGAGGTCTCGGTCCTGCATTGGACTCTGCTAAGTGATGGACTTATTCATTTTAGTGATAACGATGTGGCTGGAGGGTTAGCTCAGCGGGAGGGCAACCGCCATGCACACAGCCGAACTGGGTTCAATTCCTGGTGCCCCATATGGTTCCCCTAGCCCTGCCAGGAAAGATTTTTGAGCACACCAAAACAAACCCCAAAGTAGCACTGTAGGACTGTCTTCCCATTGTTCACCGATTTGCTCGAGTAGGCCCAGTAATTTCTCCATTGTGAAACTTGTTGTTACTGTTTTTGGCATATTGAATACGCCAGAGGGAGCTTGCCAGGCTTTGCTGGGCTCTCCAAGAGGGGCAGAGGAATCGAACTCGAGTTGGCTGTGTCAGCCGCGTGCAAGGCAAGCACCCTACCCTCTGTGCTATTGCTCCAGCCCAAACCCCAAAGTATTATTATCATTTTGGTTTTGGGGACCATACCCAGCAGTGCTCTGGAAGCATGCTGCCAAGGATGGGAACCAGGGGCCTGGGTGCAAAGCATATGCCCAGACTAATGAGCCAAAGCTCTGGCTTTAAAAAATGATTATTTTAAATTTTATTTTATTTTGCTTTTGACCTGGCAGCTCTCAGGGCTTATTCCTGGCACTGCACTCAGGGATCATTCCTGACAGTGTATAAGGAACTATAGAAGGTGCCAAGGATCAAACCTGAGTCAGCCAAATGCAAGGCAAGCACCCCCTGCCCATGGAGAAATGGTTCTCTTGCCCTAAAAATGATATTGGAGGGGAGGGGCTCACACCTGATGATACTCAGGGGTTACTCCTGGCTCTGCACTCAGAAATTACTCTGGGTGGTGCTCAGGAGACCATGTAGGATGCTGATGATTGAACCCAGGTAAGGTGGGTGCAAGGCAAGTGCTCTACCCACTGTACCATCTCTCTGGCCCTAAAAATGTTTTCTTAAAAGGGGACACACCCAGCAGTGCTCGGGACCCAGAATCTATCCTTGTGATGCTGCCATGGCCTGTGATGTAGAGGCAGATCTCGGGCTTCACACATGTTCAGCACATGCTCGAGTGCCTCTGGAGCCACCTTCTGAGGCTGAATGTACAAGTTTTGTTTTGTTTTTGTTTTTGTGTCACACCCAGCTGTGCCCAAGCCTTATTCCTTGGCTCTGAACTCAAGGATCACTCCTGTTGGAGCTCAGTGACCATATGGGATGCTAGTGATTGAATCAAGGTTGGCTGCAAGCGAAGTAAGTGCCTGGTCTATTGTACTATCACTCTGACCCAAATATTTTGTATTTTATCATTGTTTTTGGATGGGATAGGAGGATATACCTGGCAGTGATCACCTGACTCCTGTATCTGAGCTCAGGGATCACTCCTGGCACTGCACCGGGGACCAAATGTGGTGCTGGGAATGGTCCTAGGGTCAGCCTCATGCAAGACAAGTGCCTTAACCTCTGAACTATCTCTTCTGCTCCATGTTTTATATTGTAAGTGGAAAAGATTTTTTTACAAAAGCATTAAGGGAAACAGGAGAAATCATTGTGTGACTGGAATTTTCGGCATCTTGACCATGTCAATATCAATAGTTACTACTATAACGTTTTGTTGTTTGGGCCATACCGGCTATCTTATTCCTGTCTTACTCCTGACTCTGGCTCAGGGGTCACTCCTGAGTGAGCCATATGGGGTCCTGGGGGTTGAACCCCTGCTGGCCACATGCAAGGCAAGCACCCTACTTGCTCTGGTCCTGCTACTGCTACAGATTTCTATGTAGATTTGCTGCTAGAGGAAAGTGTGGAGCGGCTACAAGTATCTCTACTGTATCTTAAAATTGAAGGTGAATCTACAATTATCTCAAAATAAGTACAATAAATGCAACAATCTCATTTTTAAAAAAATGAAGTACAAGTCTTTTTTTTTTTTCCTTTTTGGGTCACACCCGGTGATGCTCAGAGCTTACTCCTGGCTCTGCACTCAGGAATTACTCCTAGCGGTGCTTGGGGGACCATATGGGCTGCCAGGGATTGAACCTGGGTCGACTGCATGCAAGGCAAACGCCCTGCCCACTGTACTATAATTCCGGCCCTGAAGTACATTCTCAAAGAATGAATATGTTGTTTTTAATAACCCCTTAACTTACTTTTTTTTTTAAAAGAATTAATTAGCCAACAAACCAATCCTGATCTGATCTGCTCAGAAGGATGACATGCTATTTGCTCCTAAAATAAATGATTCTACACAATTTGGGGGTTTTCAGGTCACCAAAATCTCTTTGCAATGTATTTTTAGTTAGCTTTTGTTGAGGAAGGAGGGAAGGAAGGAAGGAAGGAAGGAAGGAAGGAAGGAAGGAAAGAAGGAAGGGAAGGAGGGAGGAATGGAGATAGGGAGGGAGGGAAGGAGGGAGAAAAAAGGAAGACAGAGAGAAAGGAAGGAAGGAAAGAGAAAGGGAGTAAAAGTGAGAGAGAAAGGGAGTAAAAGAAAGAAAGAGAGAGGAGGGAAGGAGGGAGGGGCCAGAGAGCCCAACGGTAAGGCACCTACCTGCCTTGCATGAAGCTGTCCTGGGTTCCATCTCCAGCACCCCATATGGTCTCCCAAGCCCTGCCAGGAGTGATCCCTGAGTGCTGAGTCAGGAGGAAGCCCTGAGCACTGCCGGGTATAATCTCAAACCCCAAAATATAACCAGTCGAGAGGATGACTCAGGGGCAAAAGTGCATGCCTTGTAAGGAAGGGTGTGTGTTCAAGAGGTGTGATCGCCAGCCAGCACAGCCTGGAGTATATGAGGAACTGCAGCTGAGAGCTGTGAGCACCAAAGGCTGTACACGGCCCTGTCACTGCATGGGCGGGACAAGGGGAGGGAAGGGGAAGAAAACAGAAAGGACGCTTTATTGCGGTGCAATTCCAGCCTGCAAGTGCCTCTGGCTTCCCGTGTGGTGCAGCTCTGTGTAGAGCTCCTGCAGCTGGTTCCCTCCTCGGCCTGTCCACTCTCCCACACCACGCGGGCCCTCTCCACACCCGCTTTCTCCGGGTCGCTCCCATCTGCTGTGATGGTGGAAAGTGCAGGTGACGGCAGCCAGCCAGGGAGGAGTTGTGAGGATGTGGCCTTGTGCTGTCCGCTCAGAGGCCTTGAGTGGTTCCCCACCACCCGGCTTCTGAGCCCTGACGGCAGAGGCGAGTCACAGCTGCATGAAGGTCGGCTGACTCGCAGCTGCCCCGTCCCTGCTGGCACACAACTCAGCAACCTTTCCTGTTCCTTTTGTTTTTATTATTTTGTTTGTTTGGGGACCACACCGGGTGGTGCTCAGGGTTGACTCCTGGCTCTGTATTCGAGGATCGCTCCTGGCGCGGGGTTGGAGGGACTCTATGGGATGTCAGGGATCGAACCCAGGTGGGTCACGTGCAAGGCAAGTGCCCTCTCTGCTGTGTCATCACTCAGCTCCAATTTTTTTCTTTATAAATGGGAAATACAAAACATTCCAAACTAGAAAGAACAGCAGCCTAGATCTCCAAGGGGCCATCACCCAGCCTGGCCAGGCACGGGTACCTGCTGACCCATCTCTGTTCCTGCTCACTCCTTCAACTCCGCTTCTTGGGGATCAAATCCCATTTATCCCATCATTTTATCCAGCCCCAGAAATTTGAATATTTCTTGATAAGGTGACAAATGCGCATTGTATGGCAGAGAGGCTTCTCCTCGTCTGTGCGGCCCCGCAGGAGGAAAATAGTCTTCCTGCTGTGGATAATACTGATCATTGTGAGCTGGTACAAGAAGCCTCAAAGATGATCTTTCAGGGGGATGTTCTGTGCTCCCCCCAGAGGGAGACCGGGGTGGTGGTGGGGAGCAGAAAGCGCTCGCCTTGCACACAGCCAAACCTGGCTCTACCCCCAGCACTGAGCGCAGGAAAGAGCCCTGAGCAGCACGCGGGGTGACCCCCAAACCAAAGCAAAACAAGGCTGAACGTAATAACTTGCTCCAGCTGGAGCAAGATGTCTGTGGCTCCTTCCGTTTCGTTTGGGGGCCATGCCCAGTGGTGCTGGGGGCCTTTCCCAGGGTCTCCGCACAGGTTGCCCTGAGTAGTGCTCCAGTACTGTGAGGTGGTAGCATGGACCTAGATCTTCCAGCTCCAGCTGCCTGGTCTCCCCCTGGGCTCTCCTGTGCACTCACACAGAGGCCGGCTGCTGCGCCCAAGGTGCTTCCAAGAGAGTCAAAGGACAGGAGGGGGGCTGGAGCGATAGCACAGCGGGTAGGGCATTTGCCTTGCAAGTAGTTGACCTGGGTTCAATTCCCAGCATCCCATATGGTCCCCTGAGCACCACCAGGAGTAATTTCTGAGTGCAGAGCCAGCAGTAAGCCCTGTGCATTGCCAGGTGTCACACACACACACACACACACACACACACACACACACACACATACACACACACGAGCAGGAGGGAGGCCCTGAGAGGCTGCAGACCAGCCCCCGGGAGGAGCGAGTCCCACAACAGCTATGGACATGGACAGGGACTTCTGCAGTCACTCTGCCCTTGGCTGATGGCTGACTAGCCACTGACCTGCCCAGACTCCTGGCTCTGTGCTCAGGGGGGACCATAGGTGTTGGGGATCGATCGATCCCAGGTCACTCACATGTGAAACAAGCACTGACTGGGCCTGTCCAGCCCCCATTGGCTGGCAGTTTTTGTTCCACCTGGGGACAGTACTCAGGACTAAACCCTGGCTCTGCCTTGTGATCTCTCCTGATGGGCTCAGGGGACCACATGGGGTGCTGGGGATCAAACCTGAGTGGGTCGTGTGGAAGGCAAGACCCCCACCCTTTGTGCTCTGGCTCTAGGCTGACAAGTTACACTCCACATTCCCAGGAGGCTCTGAGCCCGAGGCGTGTGCAGAAGCAGTAGGACCGGGACCGGCAGCAGTTTCTATCTGACAGCAGGTGACTTTCTAATGCAGTGAGCCTCTTCGGGCGTTTACTTGAAGCCAGGAAAGTGCCTGACACTCCGGAATGACCGCTAATGCTCTGAAACTTCCGGTCCCCGTGAACCACAAGGAAACAAACTGAGGAAAGCGGAGGGCTGGAGCTGGTAGGCTCAGGGCGAGGCCCCCAGCAGCAAGCACCCAGACCCTTGCACAGTGGCAAGTTGGCTGAGCTGAGGAGCACCAGGGCTGAGGGGATGGCTGAGGAAGACCCTGGGGACCATGACCAAGGCGGAACTGTGGACACCCCTGATGGAGCGGCTCCCTTCACAGGGAACAGGGAGTACTTCCACAAACACCCCGTCGTCTCTTCCACAAAAACAGGAAGTGCAGCCGGCCACCAGCCAGGGAGGAAGGCCAGGCCGCAAGGGGGGGGGGGGGGGGAGACGCAGTGGCTGGCGATGGGACAGAGCCCTGAGGAGACATCACTGCAGAGTTGGTGGTTCTGAGGCCTGGGGAGGGGCCCAACCAGCACTTCTTCCTGGCTCAGAGGCTATGGCGCCCCCCACCCCCCATAGCAGGGTCCCCCCATGACCCTATGACCTCCAGATGGTATTTGGCACCAAAAGAAGAAAATGCCCGGAAAGGAGCTGGCTGGCTGCAGGGCCTGCGGCAGTAATGGGGTCCCTCACCTCATTCTCCGTCCTGGGCGGGACGTTCTCCAGCAAATCTATCCCGTTCACCACCACACTCTTCTTCTCCCTGATGGGGCCCTTGAATGTCACTCTGGGAGACTTCTTGTAACCTTCTTTCAAGGACATCAGCACGGGATCTGCAGGGGGACACGGGGCAGGGAGGGAGGTGGGTATGCCCGCCCGCTGAGCTGTCCAGGAGCAGGCTGGACACTGCCAGGGTCAGGGGTCAGACATGAGGCTGGGAGGACGGCCGGGAGCGGGCCAAGGGCTCGGCCTACCCAGTCCCACCCACTCCGATGTACCTCGGTTGATGCCACCCAGCCACTCGTCGGGGGTCAGCGCGGGCTCCGTGCCAGGCGTCATGGGGTAAATATCTTCCTGGTACGAGTCAGACTGCAGTGGTGGGGCAGAGTTGGGAACCGATGGCGGGTGAGGACGCCTCCGAGAGCCCCTCCCAGTGGGCCCCTCCCTGTGGTCTGGTGGCCTCCGAGCTTTGCACTCACTGGGATCCCCCAAACTCCCCAGGGCCACCCCAAGTCTTTTTTCCTTTTTTTTTTGTGGGGGTCATGGGTAGGGCACACTCAGTGGTGTTCAGGGCTTACTCCCGACTCTGTGCTCAGGGATCACTTCCAGCCAGGTTTGGGGAATCATCTGCAGTGCTTGGGACTAAACTTGGGTTGGCTACATACAAAGTAACCACCTTAATCCTTGTCCTGTTTCTCCACCCCGCCCAAGTGGGCCCATGGCCTCCCTCGGGGCGCCTGGGAGGCCGCTGGGCTTGGCCGCACTCACCCGCCGGGGCACGATCATGGAGATGGGCTCGATCAGGCCCTTGAGAGTCACCAGCTTGTAGAAGCGGAACACCTCGCAGGCCGACACGTCCAGCCCGTGCTTGGGCATGACCCCTGCGGAGAGGCAGGCACATAGCTCCAGGGGGCTCGGGAACCCCCCAGCGGTCCCCTGAGTTTATGGGGCGGGTGGACTCAGGGCTTCTGCAGCTGGCCTGGGACTCAGATGGTCATTTCTCTGATTTGCTGCTTGGGCCAGGGCACCTCGGACTGTGCAAGGGGCCTGGGGTGTGACTCGGAGGTAGATGCCGTGAGAGGCCTGGGTTCCAATCTTGGTGCCACTCTACACTGGCAAGGGGGCACCTGGGCACTGCCAGTGGCAATCCCGGCACCATAATTGTGAGCTCTGGAGCCACAGCGCCTAACAATACACCCAAAATAAAGAAAATGACTGTGACCTTTTAGAGCTTGAAGGAGTTACAGAAATAAGTGAATTGAGGGCCAGGGAGACCCCAGGGACTGGAGTGCATAGTTTGCAGGATGTGCAGGATCGGTCCCCAACACCGCATGATCCCCTGAGCACAGAACAGGGAATAGCCCCTGAGCATTACTGGGTGGGGTGGAAGGAAGGAAGGAAGGAAGGAAGGAAGGAAGGAAGGAAGGAAGGAAGGAAGGGAGGGAGGGAGGGAGGGAGGGAGGGAGGGAGGGAGGAGAGGAAAAGAAAAGGAAGGGAAGGAAGAGAGGGAGGGAGGAAGGAAGGAGGGAGGGAGGAGAGGAAAAGAAAAGGGAAGGAAGAGAAGGAGGAAGGAAGGAAGGAAGGAAGGAAGGAAGGAAGGAAGGAAGGAAGGAAGGAAGGACTCCTGGTTTGGGGCTGTGGGGAGGCCTGTTCTCTGATTCACAGGCTCTGTATGACTGACCCAAGGAGTGATGCTCCAAGTCCATGGCTAACCCAGGCCTTGGGGCATATTCCATCGTGGCCACCAGGAGTGGAGGGAGCACGCAGAGACCCTGGCTCCTCCCTGGCCCCATCTCCAGGTCCCACTGATCTTCTGTTGGGAACTTTGCCCGGGTTTGTCCTCTCGCCCCACCTCACACCATTATCTCTGACCGAGAAATCCACAGTGGCTCTGACAGGCCACTCCAACTTCTTGCCCTTCCCCCACCCCCAACCCCCGACAGACACACTGAACCCAACATCTCAGGCTCCATCGTGGTCCCAAAGCCTGGCTATAGCTCAATGGGGCAAGTTTGTTTCTTCCCATTTGACAGGCAAGGAGCTGTGTTTTAGGTAATCATTACACACACACACACACACACACACACACACACACACACAGGGGCCTGATATGAGTCTGCACTCACACACACATACACGGGCCCACGTGTGTGCACATGCCCTCCCCACACACACGCACACATACATGGGTCTGCATGCATACACATGGGTCTGCAGGCCTACAAGCACGCACTACACACCGACTCACACGGGACTGTGTGCGCATACACACACATGCACACACACACGAGTCTGCATGCACACACACACACACACACACACACACATGGATCTGCTCGTGTATCCACATGTGTGCATACACACAGGCCTACACACACACACACACACACACACACGCCTCTGCGCACGCTGCCTCCAACTCCGGTGTCCAGGCTGCATTTGTCCTGTTGGTGCAGAGATGACAAGCAGGGAGGTGAGATGACAGGTGAAGGAGGTGACAGGTCAGGCACCCTGGCAAGTCTCTGGGCTTGGTAGCACTGAGACAGGCTTGGCCTTCCCAGCTGAGTGCGCCGGGAGCTGACCACAGGCCAGCTGCCTGTGGCAGAGGCTCCAGGGACCTTCCAGAGTCTGAGGTTTGGTCTCTGACAGCTCATTCTCGTACCACCAGTGTCAGAACCTGAGTCAGAGTGGGAGGAAGCAGCATTGGGGGAGTGAGGGTGTGGGAGCACTGGGAGGAGGGGGATGCACTGTGGTGTAGAGAGGGTGGGAGCACTGTGGGGGAGGGGGAGCACTGTGGGGGAGTGAGGGTGGGAGCACTGTGGAGGTGAGGGTGTGAGAGCACTGTGGGGGAGTGAGGGGTGGGAGCACTGTGGGTGGCAGGGAGCACTGAGCCCCAGGGAGTGAGAGGTGAGAGAACCGGACAGGTGGGCTGAGAGCAGCAGGCAGGGGTCATGGTGCAAGTTACAAGTACTCTTCCTCCCCCTCCTCTCTCTCTCTCTCCCTCTCCTTCTCTCCTCTCTCTCCCCCTCTCTCTTTCCCTCCCTCTCTCTCTCTTTCTCCCCCCCCCCTCTCTCTCTCCCTCCCTCCCTCCCTAGCCCAGCACTGTTTGGGCTCTGCTGATCCTACTCAGGGCTCCCTGCTGGAGGGGCTCAGGGGTCACATGTGGTGCCAGGGGGAGCAGTGCAAGGAAGCATCTGACCTCCCTGCCTACTCTCCCCCCCACCCATTTCTTTTTGTTTGGGGGCCACACCCAGAAATGCTCAGAGGCTACTCCTGGCTGGGTGCTCAGAGGTCACTCCGGCTGGTGCTCAGGGGATCATGAAGTGCCAGGGACGGAAGCAGGCAGGCAAAGGATTGGTGTCCTGCCTTGTCATGCATCTTCGGAGCCAGGTCCTCTGTCAGGGGTGGTGGAACCCATGGCCGCAGCCTGCCCACCAGGCTGGCCCTTACCCAGGCCTTTCTGTGGGGCTGGGGAGCGGAACTCCATGAGGTAACTCAGGAACGGCTTCTCCGTGCTGATCTCGTAGTACCGGATGTTCCCATCTCCCTGGGGCAAAGAGAGGGGAGATGGAGCAAGAGATGGGGCTGGTGGGGGGTGGTTGGGAAGTGAGGGGCCCTGGTCCTCAGGCTCTGCTGCAGGGAGCCCCCCAACTCCCATGTCCATGGTGTCAAAGACTAGAGAGGCCCAGAAAGACCCAGGGGAGGTGACGGGGCAGTGAGTGTGTATGTCCATGTGTGTTATGTGTGTCTTTGGGAGTGCCCATGCATGTATATGATCATGTACATGTGTGTATATGTATTTCTATGTGTGTACATGTCTGTCTGAGTGTGTATGGGTATGTACGTATCTGTCTGTATATTTGTGTGTCTGTATGTGTGTGCATGTCTATACATGTGTGGCTGTGTTGTCTATGTATGCATGTGTCTGTGTCTATGTCTATGTGTGTGTGTCTGATTATCTATGAGTATATAAATGTATGATGTCTGTGTCAATAATTGTCTCATATCTGTGTGTCTATAATTATTTCTATGTGTCTATGATTGTGTGTATTGTGTCTGTGTATGATTATCTATATCTCTGTATGTATATATGTGTGCATTGTGTCTGTGTGTATGAGTGTCTGTGTGTATATATGTGTGCATTGTGTCTGTGTGCACAAGTGTCTGTGTGTATATATGTGTGCATTGTGTCTGTTCCTGTGTTTGTGTGTGTATGTGTGTGTCTATGATATCCTATGTGTATGAGTGCCTGTATCTGTGTGTCTGAATGTCTATGTCTCTGTGTGTACATGAGTGTTCATGTATGTATGTTTGTGTCTATGATCACCTCTGTGTGTTTGTGTCTCTGTGTGCGTATTGTGTGTCTGTATGAGTGTGTGAGAGTGTCCATGTGTATATTGCATTTGCATGTATTGTGTGTCTGAGTGTCAGTGTCTGTGTCTTTGTCTGTATATTGACTTTTTTTTTCCATTTTGGGTTGCACCCGGCCATGCTCAAGGTTACTCCTGGCTCGGGACTCAAGAATTACTCCTGGTAGTGCTTGGGGGACCATGTAGGATGCTGGGATCAAATCTGGGTTGGCTGCATGCAAGACAAATGCCTTACCCATTGTACTATCACTCTGGCCCCTCTGTGTGTCTGTTTTGTGTCTCTGTGTGTATGAGTAAGTGTGAGTGTCTGACTTGTATACGAGTGTCTTTATTTGACTTTGTTTGACTGTGTGTATAAGTGTCTGTCTCTGTGTGTATATTGTGTATCTGTGTGTGAGAGTGTGTACATAAAAGTCTGTGTGTAACTGTGTGTCTGAGAGCCTGTGTGTATGCATTTGTATTATGTCTGAGTGTGTGTGTGCCCGTGTGCATATGTATGTGTGTCTAAGTTCTGTTTGTGTGTGTGTGGGGGGGGTGGTTACACGAACGCCCGGGGTGCTGCCCACTACCTTTCCAGCCAGGTAGAGCATGTGGGTGTCGGCATCGTAGAATGGGAACAGGAGGCCCGAGAGCCCGTCAATCTCCTCCTCGGTCAGGGGCATGGACAGGTCCTCCTGTGGGCAGAAGCAGCAGGGGTCCGGCTGGCCAGGAGGGACAGCAACCGCCTTCCGCCTCCAGCCAGGGCTCCACCCCCCCCCACGCCCTGCTGGACGCTGCTCAGCTGACCTGGTCCCAGAGGGCGATCTGCCTGGTGTTCCACCTGGACACGCCCGTGGTCAGCAGCCGCTTCATGGTGCCCAGGAACACCACCCGGTTCACCCTGTGGTTCTTGCAGTTCGCCTCCTGCCAGGGACAGAGTGAGCTGGTGAGCCAGGGCCAGAGACGCAGGGGACAGCGGTGTCGGGGCACCAAACTGCCTCCCCCACCCCCACACCAGCAGCCTGTGTCCACGCCTCGGCAGCCCTGACCCTCCTTACTCGGAAAGGGTTGAGGTAGGTGTGATTCTTTGTTGTTTCTGGGCCACAACTGGAGCCACCCAGGCTCTGCATTCAGGGGTCCCTCCCAGTGGGGCTCAGGAGACCATATGGGGTGCTTGGATAGAACCCGGGTCAGTCACATGCAAAGTGCCCTGTCCACTGTGCTGTGCTATCGCTCCGGATGTGACTTTTAAACAAAGGACCCTGAGATGGGAGGTTTCCCCAGGGGAAGCCTAGGCAGCTTCTCAGAGTCCTCAAGCCAGCAACAGAGCCCATGGCCCCAGATGGTCCCTGGGGAGTGACCTGAGCACAGAGCCCAGTAGCCCCAGAGCACCGCCGGCTGTGTCCTAGCCCCCAGCCCGCCTCCCCCCCCCCCCCCCGGCCCAAGTGAACAAGAGATGAGCACAGGGAGAGGTTGCAGATGGAGGCAGAATGGCCTGGTGGGCATCCCCAGAGGGGAAGGAGGGGGGCATATCCCAGCCATCGGAGCACAAGGGCCTTCACAGACGCCACAGAGGCAGCCGTGGGATGCCCGAAGTGCTCTGGGCAAACGGGGGCAAAACTAAGGGACTGCTGGCAGCGAGGGGCACTCAGGGGTGTGGGGGGCGGGAGGTGAAGAAGCAGCCCATGATTTTCTAGCCTCACAATTTTGGGGTCTTCTCCATGACAAACCCAAGCAGGCCAGGCATGGGTCCTGTCCAGGAGAGAGGAGGCACTGGACAGTCATCCCCATTGTCCACCCAGCAATCTTCACTCCTCCCAGATCCTGTCTGGCCCCCTGGGACACAGCTGAGACCAGCAGGCCGAGAACCAAAACTGGAGTCGGTCCACAATGGTCACCCAGGAGGGGGCCGGGTTGGGTGCCCAGGGTCCCTCCCCCAGCCTTGACCCACAGCCCCTTCTGCTGGGACCGTGGTGAGCTGAGGGGGTTCACATGCCAGGTCGGTTCTGGGGAGAAGGAGCACGGGGAGGGAGGGGCCAAGAGGGGAACTGAGGTTCTCGCATCCACAAGTCAGGTTCCTGGGAGCTGAGGGTCTGGGACGCACGGCTGGTGCCGGTGGCTGGGGCTGCCTTTTTCTCCAGGTTGGGTGCTAAGAGGCCCCAACTCCCTTCCAGGGCCCCACCAGCCTTGGCCTCCCTCTCTGGCCTCCCTCCCTGGCCCCACCTGTCCCCACCCCGCCCCCTCCCTGGACCCTCTGCCCAGCCCGCCCCCTGCCCTGCCCCACCTGACCCTGTCCACCCCCTTCCCCCGCCCCCCCCCACCTGCCCGGCCTGCACCCTACGGGGCCACACCTGCCCCTGTCCCTGCCTTCGCCCCGCCCCCGCCCCCCGCCCCCTCCCTGCCCCCCCCACCCCACCTGCACTGCAGCCCCGCGGGGCCCCTCACCTGCAGCACGCGGCCGGAGCGCGGCTCGATGACCCGCAGCTTCTTGTCCTTGCACGTGGTGCCCAGCAGGCTGCCGTCTGTGTTGAAGGACATGCAGAGGATGACATCCGTGTGGCAGTCGATCATCTTCACCGGCTCCCCCACGTCCAGGTTCCAGATGAGGACCTGCGGGGCCACCGAGGACAGGCTCAGGCCGCCGCCTTCGGCGCCCGGGCACACCCGCGTGTGTTCCAGAGCCCGCGCGGGCTTTCCTGGTTCTCTGCGTGTCGTCTGGGGGGCCACACCTGGCGGTGCTCAGGGCTGACTCCCAGCTTTGTGCTCAGGAATCGCTCCCGGATTACTCAGGGACCCCACCGCCAATGTCCCCAGGTTCCCTGATAAGCAAACATTTAAAATATTTCAAAAATTTTATTTACTTTTTAACTGTTTTGTTTTGTTTTAGTTTTGGGGCAATGCTCAGGGCATTTCTCCTGAGGGTGGTTGGGGGATCATCTGGGGTGCCTGAGATAAAGTCCGGGTCAGCCACATGCAAGGCCGGCATCCTCCTCCCACTGTACTTTCGCTCTGGCCCCATAAAATAAGTATTTTCTCAACAATGTTAGGTTCAGAATAAATGAGGATCTGGGTGATGTCACTGAAATGCAAATGTGAGGGTGCCTGTGTTTAGTTGAAACCTCAGTGGGAGGTGAGGAGCTGGCTGGGGAGGCAGCACGTGCCCTGTATGTGTGAGGGGGGTGAGCACTCTATTTGCTGAGGCCTGGGGCTGGGCTGGGGTGCTCAGAGGATGAGCACTCCCTTGCCCTGCTGTTGTGAGGCCCTGGGCTAGGTCCCCAGTGCAGAAGGGAGGGGAAGGGTGGGTGGTCTGGCTGGAGGCTCCAGTGGTCCAGTTCCTATCTGATGCCCAGGTCTGAGTCAGCATCCTGGTGTGCTGCCTGGTCTCCTGAGCATCACCAGGCATGATCCCAATAAAAGAAAATCTTTTTAAAATTTTTTTTTTTTATTTTAACTTTTTGAATGGGCTGGAGCAATAGCACAGTGGTAGGGTGTTTGCCTTGCACTCGGCTGACCCGGCCAAGCCGGGTTTGATTCCTCTGCTCCTCTCAGAGCGCCTGGCAAGCTACCGAGAGTATCTCACCCGCACGGCAAAGCCTGGCAAGCTACCTGTATGCCAAAGACAGTAACAGCAAGTCTCAATGGAGATGTTACTGGGCCTGCTCGAGCAAATCTATGAACAACGGGAAGACAGTGCCACAGTGCTACTTTTTCGATCACACCTGGCAATGCACAGGGGTTACTCCTGGCTCTGCACTCAGGAATTACTATTACTCCTGGCGGTGTTCAGGGGACCACATGAGATGCAGGGAATCGAACCTGGGTCGGCCACATACAAGGCAAATGCCCTACCCACTGTGCTATCGCTCCAGCCCCACCAACTAAAAAAAATCTGAAAGGAAGAAGTAGCCAGGCAGGGAATGTGGGCCAAGCAGGTGCCTTCCCTTCCAAGATGGTGAGAACAAAGGAGGCAGCAAAAATGTGTCTGTGGGGGTGGGGAGAGGAAGGGAGAGAGAGTGCAGCAGGGAGGGCACTTTCATGTGGCTGACACTGGGTTTGATGCCTGGCATCCTATATGGTCGCTGGGGCACTGCAGGGAGTAATTTCTGAGTGCAGAGCCAGGAGCAAACCCTGAGCATTGCCAGATGTAGCCCAAAACCAAAACTCAAAAGCACAAACAAAAATGTAAAGCGAAACAAAAATAACTAAAAATAATAATAATTTTTAAAAAGCAGCTGTGTTGTATGTGGTGAGTGAGCACTGTAGTGGGCCCGATGGGGGGGGGGGGTGGAAATAGCAGAGCTGTCCCCCACATCCTCCCATGCCCCTGGCCCGCACACCTTGTAGTCGTAGCCCGCGCTGAAGAGAATGTTGTTGGCCGTGGGGTGCCACTCGACCAGCCCCACACGCCGGCTGTGGCCGTGCAGCTCCAGGATGGCCTCCGTCATGTTGCGCTTCAGGCCGCCCGCTGGGATCTCCCAGATCCGCACCTGTGGACAGACACAGCATTGGGGCTCCCCCAGCCCCAACACCCTCCCCCGCATCCCCCACGGAGGTCACGGATGATTGAGAGGTGGTGGGACCCAGAGGGAAGGCCCCACCTCTCTGCCTGCCTCCTTCTAGAAGTCTCCGTGTATAGGGAACAGTCTTCAGCAAGTGCTGCTTTATTTAATATTTTGTTATGTTATTATTTGGTGTTTGGGTCACACCCAGCAGTGCTCAGGGCTTGCTCCTGGCTCCGTACTCAGGGATCACTCCTAGCAGAGCTCAGGGGACCCGGTGCAGTGCTGGGGATCAAACCCAGGTCAGCCATGTGCAAGGCAAAGGCCCTGCCTGCTGTACTATTGTTCCAGCCCCAATTTATTTTTGATGATTTCTTTTTATTTTTTCTTTTTGGGGGGTTTGTTTTCTTTTTGAGCTGACCCAGCAGAGCTCAGGGCTTACTACTGGCTCTGTGCTCAGGAATCAGTCCTGGAAGGCTCAGATCAGAGAACCAAATGGGGATCAAATTCAGGTCAGTCATATGCAAGGAAAGTGCCCTACCCACTGTACTATCTCTGTGGACCTGTGCCTGCTTTCTTTCTTTCTTTCTTTCTTTCTTTCTTTCTTTCTTTTTTTTAAAAAAGAATCTATCTTGATCGAGGGAAAACAAGGGCTAGGAGGACTGGTCAGTGATTGGAATCTACCACAATGTGTGAGGCGGGTAGTGCAGGTAAGATAGAGAAGAGACCAGTATGACAATAGTTGGAAATTATCATGCTGGACAAGAACTGAGTGTTAAAAGTAGGTAAAGGGATATGCACGATAACCTATCTGTATCTATATTACAAATCACAATGTCCAACAGGAGAGAGAGCAAGAGAGAGAGAGAGAGGGAGAGAGAGAGAGGGAGAGAGAGAGAGAGGAGAGAGAGAGGAGAGAGAGAGGAGAGAGAAAGAGAGGTGCCTGTCATAAAGGCAGACTGGGGGTGGGGGGTGATGGGAGAAAAATTGGGGACACTGGTGCTGAGAAATGTGCACTGGTGGAGTGATGGGTGTTGGAACACTCTATGACTGAAACATAATCATAAACAGCTTTGTAAGGGTCTATCTCACAGTGATTCGATTAAAAACATTGAAAAATAAAAAAACTGAAAAATAAGAATCTATTTTGGGGACTGAGAAGGCTCACAGGACTACAGCTCTCATGGGGGAGGCCTGGGTCCACCCCTGGTGCTCAAGGCCTCTGCGAACCACCAGGTAAGTCTCTGCTGGCTTCTGAACACTGCTGGTGTGCTGAGCCCGACCCTTAGAAAATCACTGGACCAGCACAGAGGAGACTGAAAGTGCGCTTGGAGCATCAACTTTATATGCTGAAGCCCTGGGTTTGATCCCTGGCACCGCATGGTTTCCCGAGCGAGGAGGAATCCTTGAGTACAGATCCTGGAGTACCCTAGCACAGCCAGTTATGGCCCCAAACCAAAGCAAACCCACAAACCTATTTCACGGACCCTCTCTGTTCCCCGTTCCACATCCTTCTGAGAGTCTGCCTTCAGCCCCAGCTCCCCTGCCTGTGCCTGAGCCTGAGCCCAGCCCAGGATAGTCCTAGCAGGAGGCCATTGGATGGGCTGGGAGCAAGGAATCCATGCAGAAATGGTGAGCTAAGGGACAGAACCAGGTGAGAGTGGAAAGGGAGGCAGATTCTGGTTGCAGCTCTGGTCGGCTGTGGCTGTTGGTAAAAATGGGTGACCGTGTGGCTCAATGGCAGGGCATAGACCCCTCACACATGAGCCCTGTTCCATGTGGCACTGCACATGCACACACACGTGTACAATCTAAGAAGCATAAAGGATGGTTTGTAGAGAGAGTGATGGCACCAACAGAGAATCAGAGCTATAAGGCCATGCTGAGGAGATGGGGGTGGGGCTGGAGGAGAAAGAGAGAGAAAGAGGAGAGAGAGAAAGAGAGAGGGGAGAGAGAGAGAGAGACTTTCTTCACAGTGTTTGTTATTTGCATTAGCTCTGATGGACTTCATTTCTCAAGCCAAATATGAGTTTCAACTTCAGAGTTTCAACTGTTCTGTGTATAAATGATAGAAAATGCCTTGCTACTGGACCACTAACCCTGGACACTGGTTGTAACAGTCTGTGAACTATGAGGCTGGAGTGACAGCATAGCAGATAGGGGCTTGCCTTGTATGCAGCCAACCCAGGTTCAATCCCAGGCACCTCATAGGGTCCCCTGAGCCCACCACGAGCAATCCTTGAATGCAGAGCCAGGTGTATACCCTGAGCACTGCTGGGTGTGGTCCCCCCCAAAAATACCAATAAGAATAAAAACCAAAATGGCTGTCAACTCTATGACTAAGGAATGACGATTCTTCTTGCAGATGCTGTTATTGTCATCATCAGTAGTAGTTATTGTGATCCAACAGGGTGGAGAGGAAAGAGCCCATGTGACTATAACTCAGAACACCTTTAAAACAAACCATTTGAAAAGCTGAGCTCCACCCTGGCTAAAAAGGAGGAAAACAGGAAAGACAGCACTGAGATACCATGGAAAGCCTCTAAAATAACCAAATGGAGAAAAGCAGTCTATGTGGGCAAGACCGTTCTGGAACCGGTAGTCAGCCGGCCTTGGTAGTGTTATGAATCTGAGGAAGTCTTTTGGAAGCAGTTTAACAGTCTTAGGTGGGGACCATGAAGGCCCAGGATATTCTTTGAACACTAATTTTACTCTCAAATCTAATATAAGCAAAAATCTCTATGCATGAAGATACTCATGGTGACACAGAAAACCTGGAAATAGGCAATGACCAACATTAGGGGACAGTCGGCTGTGTCACGGCTGCTGTTAGCATCCTGGATAGACAAGGGAAGCTGGGCACAGTCGGGCAGCCTGGGGACACGGGGCAAGGTTGAGAACTGGGGTGCCCCTAAGGGAACTCCCCTGTCTCCAAGGAGTATTTTCCGCAGCGTCCCCTGGAAAGACTCAGCTCTGCACATGAAGCCTGTGAGACCCCCAAGGCCAAGTGGGGGAAGGGTTACTCAGGATGGGGGGGGTCCCCCTTGGGTGTTCCCCTCTCATAAACTCACTGGAGAGAAAGCTTATAGTGGGGAGACAGTGCGAGGTTTTTGTCCTCGGCAGTGCTGGCTCTCTCCACAGCCCTGAGTGGGCTCAGGGACCTAAAGGGGCCTGGCGGGCCACTAGGGTCTTTCCTCTGACAGGTCCTGGGCAAGGGCAATCAGAAGTGAGGTGACATCTGAAGATGGGGGAGAGTGGGGAGGGGACCAGGCAGGAAGCAGGGTCTGTCAAAGACACACATTCCCTTCACCCCCAGTACGGAGAACAGGGTCAGGGGGGTCATGATCAATGCTTAGAAGAGACGCTTATTCACACACAGACCCACATGCACACCCCACATCCCCCACATACACACACCCCAACATACATTCTACACCCACCCACACACTTCATACACCAATGTACCCCACACACCACATTCCATATACCCCCACATTCCACACACACACCCATACACACATTCCACACACATATACATTCTACACACACCCCCCACATACCCCCCACATTCCACACACCCACACACATTCCACACACCCCCACACACATTCCACATAGACCCGCACACAAACATATTCCACACACACTTCCATATATCCACACACGCTCGCACACTACACACACATACACACATTTGACACCAACACACACATTCCACACAGAACCACACACAAACATGTTCCACACACACTTCTCACATACCCATACACGTGCACACACTATACACTCCTATACACATCCCACACAGACCCACACACTAACACACACATTCCACACGCACACTCCCCACAATCTCCCACACTCTCTCACACCCCTCTCACACACACATTTCACACACCCACACACAAGGACATTCCACACACTTCCCACATACCCACATACATTCCACACAGACCCACACACACCAACACACACATGCACATATACACATTCGCCCACTATTCCCCAACACACTCCTCCCCTACACTCACTCTCACAACCCCCACATCCACAAACGTTCCCCATACAGTCCCCCCAACACCCACCACACACATTCCACACACCCACATACACTTCTCCACACACCCACGTTTTTCCCACCCACAGACACATACTCCCCCCCACACCCACAAACAACACCCACCCCAACATTCCTTCCCATACCCCCATACCTCCACCTCCCTCCACTTCTGACCCCACAAATCACCCCCAAATCCCTCACACCAACCCGCACACTTCCACACTCCTGACCCCACCCACACAACATCCCAAGTCCCCCACACAACCCCATCATATCTGTTCTCCCCAGAGACTGTGGTTGCTATGTCCTTTACAGCTGCTTTACTTCGGTAGCCAGAGGCTGTGGCCGCCCAGCTCTCCACAGGGGTCGACCCTGCGATCACCATGAAGGACACTGCCAGCCTTTCCTCAGGGCCACCCCGGCCTTGCCATGACCAACTGTCTTTCCCAGGATTTCTGTGAGGTGGCTGGGGGGGACGTCCTGGGAATGAGCACTCACACTCACACTCACGTTCCTGAGGGCGTCAGAAAAGTGCCAGTTCATGGTAAAATGTCTCTAGAGTCACAGCAGCTTCTGCCCTTGGGGTTCAAGCATCTTTCACCCCGTGTCTAAGTGGCCTTTGGGAATGGACTCCGGCCTCCCACTGTGCTCAAGGTTCTCCTTCCTCAGGCTCTTAAAAGCCCCTGGGTGGACATGGGCCCCCTGGCACTGCTGGGCTGAGCAGCACAACCCTGGGAGCCCCAGCATTAATCCACCTGGCTCACGAGAGTCACTGGGAATGGCTCCTGGTACTTCTGCACTGTCCTTAGGTAGCCCCACCCCAGAGGCTGGGCATCCCCCTCCCTTACTTTTTGACTATCCTTGTTTGCACTTGAGTAGAAGGTTCTAGAAACTTCTTGATTTTGCAAAGGGATGCCATTATGTGGGG